CTTTCTTATTTTATTTGTTTTCTCAAAATTCTATTGTTAATGATTGATAATAAAAGCAATCAACTTATTTGATCTCAAGCAATATTTGCGCTGATTTAATAAACCAAATATTATTAATAAGACAAAACATATTACTGATGCATAAGATATCTTAAAAATAAAGTCTTTCAAACCTATAATTAAAGCATTATTAAAAGAGGTTTGTTTTATTAAGCTTATAGTTATTATACCGCTATCAATGAGTGAGCAGTTAAACAAAGCAGCNAAATAGTACTATTGATAAAACTACCATATTAACACCTCTATAAAAAATGATTTATGCTAGGCTAGCAAATTTTTCCTAGAATCACAACTGTTTTTTATATTAAAAACTAATTTTTTATGTTTATAGTAAACTTGCATTCATACCTGATTCAAATTAGGATTCAATTTTATGAACCAGACTCTCTCATAGTTATAATATAGTGTGATGGATACTGTTTATAAGCTCCAGTAATTGCGTCAACAGCAAAACCAGGCAGCCACACTACGTTTAATAAAGTAACTTTATTAAAATCTTCACCTACCATCACATCTGACTGTTCATAACCTGATTTTTTACAATTAATAGATACTGTTCCTGATCCTCGTTGAACTGCTACTTGTCCAGGATTAGATGCAAGAGAATATCTCACTCCAGATGCAGGAAGACTTACAATGCATTTTACTCCTTCTAGCAAATCACCCTGGCTATCTACTACTTGCATTTGAATTGTTTGAGTAGGACTAGAAAATATCGTTGCAAAGCAACCAGTCAGTAAGACAGTTGTAGATAAAATTAAACAAGTATTAACGAATTTAAAAGATTTATATATTTTAAACATAATTACCCTCTCCTTGTTGAATTTCTATAATTTTATCATAAATGCAGTTATTTGTCAATATTTCTCTAGCCTCACACCATAAAGCAGCAAATCTTATATCGATATTATGTGAGTAGTCTTTAGACCTCTTTCGAAACTCAATTTCTGATGGCAATTTTGCTATCGCAGCTGAGCTACGCTCCTCAAATATAGCTAACTCAAACAAGGTTTACTTGGATAAAATTATATGATAAAAAGGTGTATTGAATAAATAAAGAGGGTAAAAATGCCAGGACCATATAGTGAAGATTTGCGGGAACGAGTTTTCAAGATGATAGACGAAAAAAAAGGAGAGACCCCCTGCAAAACGAGGAAAAAAGTAGAAAAACAAAAAAAAACGTATAAAGAGTTTTAGTGAGAGAAAATGGCAATAAATTATGCAAAAGTGGCAAAAACCCCTTATATTTTCAGACAATTAACGGGTCTAAAAACAGAAGAATTTGAAAAAATCGTGGAAAAAGTGAGGCCGGAGTGGGAAAAAATGGAGGCAAAAAAGAAATGTCACGGAAGAAAATCGCACGTTGAAACACTAGAAGACAAAATATTATGCGTTCTCATTTATTACAGAACGTACATAACACATCCATTTTTGGGATTTTTGTTTAACTTGCACAACTCAAATATCTGCCGATTACTGAAGAAAATGGAGCCATTATTAGCCAAAAAAATAACTATCAAAAAGGATAGAACG